TATCTCTCACTCTTTCTATTTTATAAGTAAGACAACAATTAATTCTTTATTTCTTCATTTATGTTTTTTTTTTGGTATCTTCTCTCTTCTTTCTCATTTTTTTCTCTTGTAATGTGTTATTGTTGTTGATCTACTATGGTTTTGACCCACTTTTAACCATGGTATTGAGATGATTATACAATATATATATATATATATATATATATATATATATATATATATATATATATATATATATATATATATATATATATATATATATATATATATATATATATATGTTTTGGAGTCTTTTTTTTATAACACTTGAACATGGAGAGATAATCGTTGTTATACAAAGCAGAAGACAAGAAAATAAATAGGATGTCAATAGACACCGCACAGACATGAAGAAAGGGAAAAAAAATTCTCACCAACTCCCATTATTGTCGAGCTTCCAAGGTGAGTAAATGTTGAAGCCAAGCCGGTGCATCTCGGGCGATGTATGATTGGGGTCTATTAGGAGTCTATTAGGTATATTTTCAGGTTCAGAAGAATTTTGGAGTAAAGTGATGATTTAGGTGTCCTTATGGAGCTTAAATGAGAGTTTTCCCGAGACAACTATGAAGATCAGACAACAAGGTCGATATCCAAAAGATACATATCGATCGATACACATCTTGTGTGATCGATCGACGACGCTTCCGTAGAAGATGACGAATTGAGATACTCCATCGATCGATGTACGCCTTGTACCATCGATCGATATCAAGTGTGAAGAACAAGTTTGACTCAGCCGACTTGAAGCCCAAGTTCTCTCAATATTACAAGATTGCCCCTGATGAGTTTTTAACCCAATTGAACTCATATTTATAGTTATGCATGTGTGTTTTGGCTAGACATGCTTTTTGTGCTTTTTGGAGTGTGCTTTTTAGTGCCTTTGATTGCTTCTATTCTTAATACTCATAGTTCTTTGATTTAATAAAAGTATTCTTTTCATCTTATTTTGTTTTCAAATAAAAGGTTATAAATTTCTAGATTTAGAAGAAAACACAAAGAGATTTGTTGTTCAAAAGAACCAAGTATTCAATCTTCTAATCTTATGAATTTCTATTATTGCCTTGATGCTATGAATCACTTAGCCATGTCTGAGTAGATTCACTTGTTAGATTTGGGGTTCAAATAGTTATGAGGGATTAGCCCCAACTATGGATTGTTGTGTTGTGATATTCATTATCCTAGTGAACCCTAATGCTTACTCTAGAATATCTAACTAGAGTATGATCATGGAATGATTTAACTTATTAATCATCATCCTGAAATCATCTAGTATAAGCTGAGATCCTCTAGGGACGAACGAGAGCCGGTCTATGATCTTGGTGAACACGTATTCAATTTGATCTGAAGCTATATCAATCGATACTCCTATAGAGTAATCGATCGACGGCTACCTATATCGTCTGATATCGCTGTCAAAACATCGGTCGATATTGCCAGTAGTCAGATCAATGGACGAGTCTAGATAGCGATTTCTAATAGACTTATCTAAGAGTCGAAGTTCTTTAATATCTTGCAAGCAACTTATAAAGACATATGTAGATCCTGATTATCCGAATAGCAACCTTGAATCTAACTACTTTCTTTTATTGTTTAAAACCTAAACCAATTCTCTTGAGCAACTCACCATTACTCACAACTGCAATTTACTTTTATACTAAATCAACTTAGCATAATCACTAAGGATTATATCTTTTGTGTTCCTTAGTTCCTTGTGGATTCGATCCCTAAGTACTACAAATGAACCTCTTATTTGAGAGAGTAATTCACTCCTTAGGGTAATTTGAGTGATATCAGTTGTGATTTGATTGTTTCGTACTATTATTTTTTAAATATAGTATAGGATATTATCACATAGTGCATTCACAAATAATCAAGCGTGGAGAATGAGAAGTTGGTCCATTTTCATACCAAATTAACACAGTTATCAATGAATGACTATATTCTTAATTTTTTGTCCACTATGATTATCCAATAAATTCACCCATATCAAAACTCTTTCTTTATTTTTATAAAAGACCAAATACCAAATTTCATAGTCACAACAATATCATGGATATCCCAAATTGAAAAAACAAAATTTAGATAAACACACAAATATATTCCAACACGTCAAAACGAGAGAGACAGATAACCATGTGGTCAAGTGGTTAATTATAGTAAAAGAGTCACATATATTCAAGGGAAAATTGCCAAAAAGGGATGAAATAGCTATACTATTTTCCCCTTAGAATTTTATTTAGGATCTTTGTCCCTATAGTACAAATAATAATGAATACCCTCTTTTGTCCTTATTCTATTGAAATTTTTCTAATTAAAATGTTAATTATTTTGTAAATGTTTTTTAAATATAATCTTTACATTACTAAAACACAGATTTATTACTTGTGTCGAGTTAACTCTTAGCTAACAAAACCAAAAAAACCCACAGCTGCTTTAATTAAGAACATAAAACAAAACCACTGCTTTAATATAAATGATAGAACCCCTATCTATACCCTAAATGATAGAACCCCTATCTATACCCTAAATGATAGTAAAATTAGACAAATGTTTAATTTAAAATTTATACCAAATCAAATGTTTAAATGTTTTTCTATTTATAATTAAATTAAAATATAAATCCAAACAAATGTTTGTTATAATTGTACTAAATGATAGAACCCTTATCTATACCCTAAATGAGAGTAAAATTAGACAGAAACTAACTCCTATCTATACCCTAAAAACCTAATCCGATTAAAAGCTGTGTTTTCCCTAAACAAAAGCTTATATAACTCCCCCCTTAACATGGACACATACACTATATGCCCTCGAAACCTAATTTGATTTCATCGGTTTCTTTTCTTATTTTTCGTAAAATTCTCTCATTCTGACTACACAGCGACGAACATGTATATCAGTGAAGGGATCCCTTCCAGATGCTGGTGTGGGAAGGGAATTGTCACTTATGTTTCCAAAACGGAGGAGAACCCATACAAAAGATTTTTCAGATGTGAGAATGGTTTAAAGGTAGATCTGATTTTTCATAACTTGATAATTCTTTATTTTACATGTTTATTATTACAATTGACTTGTTTTTTTACATTTTGAACAGAGAAAGAACGAAAAGCATATTTTTAAGTGGGTCGACAAGGCTTGTTTGGATGAGATTCAAAGGTTGGATGATCATCAGTTAAGGATTGCCGAAGAAATTGAAGAACTCAGAAGTACCATGAAGACGGTGCATGAAGAATTTATAAAGCATAAGAATTCAATCGATGTAGGTTGTGTAGGATCCATTCTCAGTGTTTTTTGTCTATGTTTCAAACTTATGCATAATCAGAGTACCAACAGTTTTGGCTGAAGCTGAACGAACAAAACCGTCCCTTCTCGATGGTGCACATGAATGATCAGGTACATACTTTTTGATGATGAAATACGATAAACCTGTTAAACCCTCTGCTCGAACGCGCCAGCTGCAATCATCATCTGAGCAACGAATGTACCACACTTTTTTATCCGATTTCACAACCTTTAGAAATTGTGTTTCATAGCACATATTTCGAATGCTGCCTTCAAAAATGTTTTGGAACTAAAATGTTGATTCTTCTTCGCGACATCCACCAAAGAAAAGTGAACACCATCTCTGTTGCTCTTCTCTATGTCCCACTTGTTGTCCTGATCGATGTCATCTACATCAACATCTTCTTCAAAATCCATATCAACTGAATCGTCAATATCCATAGGATCTTCGTCGCTGTTAGAGTCAGCCGCTTCTTCATTCAAGTCAAATTCCCCTCTGCTATTGGTTTTCTCCAGCTTAGATTGAATACTCACACACAACCGCGTCGAAGCTTTGTTCTTCACAAAACTAAGAAAGCTTCTAACTTGCCGATCATTGGTGATGAAGACCGGAGGCGAGTCAATGCTATTGATCAAACCTGAAGGCAAGTAACTGAGCTCCATATTGACCATGTTTGCATCAATTTTTAAGTCTTCACACACCATAACCTTTACGTTTTCGAAGCTTAAACTTGTGTCCAAAATAAGTAACCTCCCTCCTTTTGCTTCATCAACAAGAAACTCCCATCCACTATGTATTAACGATTTCCACAAACCACATGAAGTAGATGTGAATCTTCATATTTTTTTGAGCCAAACAAAATTGAAAGAAGAAGAAAATATGAAAAACATAGTCGTTGAATCCTTAAATCATGTGAGAAGAGGAGATTTTCATTTTTTTGGAAGAAAAATTAAAAAAGGAAATTAAGATATTAAAAAGATTTACAGAATATTACTTAAACGTTTTTGACTAGATTTTCGGATCATGTTTAATTTTTTTTCCAGAACTTACATTCTACCACTATAGAAGGTAGACGAAGAAATAGGATATGGTATACGACGATTGTAGATAGAAAAACAATGTCAAGAATCCAGTCCCTACCGAGCTAGATAAGAGTTTACCTCTAGGACTTACAGTCAACCAAAACCTTAGATTACAGAGACTTTGGTAGATTATATATTCTGAGCTCGTAGTTATGTATGTTTTTTGATATATTGTGCATCCTAAGCCGTTTAGGAAGCTGTCTTTCTGTTAGATTACATATTCTACATCGCCGTAGATGGTAGATCGTAGTTACTAACACATTTACTCCATTTTTGAATTTACAATTTAAACATTTTTTAAAACAAAAATATTTTTCTTATATGAATATGCTTATCTACATCAACAACGTCAACTAGATTTTTTTTTAATATTTGAGAATCGTTTTGAGAGTACTCTACTTTACTTGCCAAATACGACACGAATCAAGCAACGAGTAGGAATCGAATAGCAAGTAGTTGTGTCCACCCTAAATGCTCTTTTCATTCTTTTTTTTTTTTGCAGTTTAAAAAAGCTCTATGAACTATCTATTTTATAGATATCAGTTTCATCTAAGTAAGGTCTTGTAGAGCTCTAAACTACTTGGTTTATGATTTCTTACAATAAACAGATTGACACTCAGAAACCAAAAGATCACCATACACAGTACCATAATTAAAACAAGAAAAAAAACAAATCAAGCGTTACTTAAACATGGTCACATAGAGGCCTTAGGTCACAGTGAACTTAAACCACACGTAAAAATCACACAGACATACACACAAAGAAAATAAACGAGTTAGGAAGTCTTATAGCTCGTAAGTCATGCCAACCTTAAGAAGCTTCGACCTTGGAATCGCAAGTGCTTTGTCACCTTCCCGACAATTTTTCTTCAAGAAATTATAAGCATGGTTCACTATAAACTTCTTAAACAAAGAAGAATCTTTAGCCGCCGTAATCTCAGTCTCACCCATCAGATAAACCATTCCTTTCTCTCTAGCTTTCTCCACCAAATCCTTATGAGACTCCACAGATTGCACTTGCACGACCCTTCCTGACCTAATCTTGTCCGAAGAAGATGAATGCGCAGACCCAATCCGCTCGGACGAAGGAACAGATTTGGACAAAGGCACAAGTGTAGTAGCCTCAACATTTGTTTCCTCCTCTTTCTCCCTTGTCTCTTCCACTTCTCCTCCGGATATGAAGTACTCATGATGGATAAACTCCTTTAAGTAATGAACAAACTGACGCTCAAACTCATCAGGCTCTTCGATGTCTTCCTTGTAACCATATCTCACAACACATCGAAACATCCCGGAGTCCTTAGGCTCCACGTAACGGAAAAAGAATCGTTCTGATGGTGTGACACGGCTCACGGGAAGTGACTTGATCGATATCAAGACGAAAACCGTATGGACCGAAGAAAGATTCGAGATATAGTGAGAAAACAACGGAGTTATACCGTTGACAAGCTCCGTGTAAAACAGCGCAATCCCTGGAACGCGGTTTACGTCAGGACTTGTAACCATTTGTATAGCGGTTTCTTTAGAAATCTTCTCCCTAAGTTCGTACCGGTACTTGAGGACGTGGACGTATTGCCAAACCGCCATCACTGCCATCAAAACCACCGTTATTGCAAGCGGTAGATAACCACCGCTCGTGAACTTGTACATAACCGAAGAAAGGTACAACATCTCTATGGAGCCAAAGATTATCAAGAACATAGCGATCCACACTATGTTGGTTTTCCAAATAACAAGCATTATGAGAGTCACCATGAAAGTTGTGATGACCATGACGGTTACCACGGCGATTCCATAAGCGTGTCCTATCTTCTCGGTGGTTCTGAAGGCGAGTGTAACAGCCACACATGCGAGCATGAGGAAGTAGTTTATCTCGGGGATGTAGACTTGTCCCTCGTACTTAGCTGACGTGTGAACCACTTTGACTCGAGGGAAACAACCCATACGTAGAGATTGAGAGATGACTGAGAAGGCACCAGATATCATAGCTTGGCTTGCTATAATTGATGCTGCCACCGCCACCACAAATGTTGGCCAGTAAAACGGATCTGTTACGTTTAATCCAGTGTTATGTTTGTTGTTAGATATATCGATTAAAAATAAGTAGGAATCATCCGTTTACGATAATTTGTATGCACTTTTAATTTGAGAAATTATATAGTTTGAGATAAACCAACCTGGGATAGAGTCGTAGAAAGTGTTTGAAACGTTGGAAGTATGTTTAGTGAGGTATGCAGCCTGACCACAATATATTATTAACAGCGCTGGATATGCGACACATGAGAAACTTATCTGCAACATTTTTTGGCAAAATTGGGTCAGTGAAATAAACAGTAAAAATATGTGTCTTGAGTTTTCAATTTGATTTTCAACGACTGTACTGGTCCAAATTCTCTTAAATAACTTCAGCAGTGTGATATATATGTCTAAAATGTTTATGTTTAAGATATTTTATTTACTTATATAGCTAGGGATATAGAAATTACCTGCACGGCTCGAACACTGAAATGACCTAGATCAGCAAACATGGCCTCCGTCCCTGATTCAACAAATTACATTGAATCATTAGAAAGTACATTTGATATTTAGGATTATATTAAAGAGAAACAGAAACTGTGGAAATTTCTGATGTATTCAACGTGAACAAATGAGGTTACATATATACAAATGATATCATATCCAAATGGTTTGATGATGAACCGGCATTTAACCAACTCCAATATATATAATACATATGAAAACCATTGTATGGATTCTCACCAGTGATGCAGAGGAAGACACCTCCAAGGGAAATCCAACCCTTTCTACCGTTTCTTATAAAGTAGTGAATAATATAGAGCGGATTAACTGCTTTTAGGACAGTAAAGTCATGCTTGAAAAGATTAGCGAGACCAATGCCGGTCAGAAATGTGAACCATAGGAGGATGATGGGGGCAAATGAAAATCCAACTTTATCTGTTCCAAACCGCTGAAATGCGAATAGCAGAATCAAGATTGCTACTGAAACGCCAACGACCGTGTCTGCGCATTAATCATTTATCAAATTCCGTTAGATCACATTTATATACGTTATATTGTTACATATATTATGAGGAATCATATGCTTCTAACTCCAAAGCAATAGCAATTAGTATTATACAAAATAATCAAGAAGATGGATGCGGTGAGTTTACTTTGTCCGAGAGATTTGATTCCGCTTACTGCTGAAAGTACTGGATCAAGTAAAAAAAAAACATGAAATTTGTTAAAACATGATTCTGGAGAATATCTTACCTCACGTACACATTGGTCAATAATTTTTAGGTACGTACCTGAGATTGAAGGAGTAAGAATACCATCACCAATGACCATGGAGGTGCCCATAATAGTGACAAGGAAGAGTGTGATCTTAGCGAATTTGAAATTCTCGAGCTTCTCTTTGATCTTATGGGCTCTTCTGTGCTTTGTGTTTGGAAGTTCAAGTGTATAGTTTGAGAGCTCTCTATCTTCTGGTTCTTGGTTTGGGATAAGTCCCGTTTTTGCATATCGACATATCAACGAGTACAATGCAAATGTTCCTCCTGCGTTCAACAACTTTGTCATATGCTTCGCCATGTATACAATTTCATGAAAGTAATCTATTATAGTATTTCTCACTATGTTAGAAAGTAGAAACCGTGATATAGACATGAAAACAAATATTATAATTCTAAAGAATGGCAAACATTAACACTATTGCCAAATGGGTTTTTCACCTTTTACCATATTGATCATAAACAAAAATAAATTAGTATTATTATGACATATCACGAGAAATAACAAAAAAAACTACATAATATATATACAGGAAAATTTCAAGCATGCAGCTGTGTTGAGGGTTCCGCTCAGAAAATTTATTTTAACTGTGTCTAAAAGAAAAATCAATAAATAGACGTTTGATTTTTTTTTGGAAAAAATGCTGGTCTTAGAGCATGTACAATGGGAGATTTAACCAAATCCTTAGCACATATTCTTAGACAAATCAGATTTAAATAATAGTATTTAATTTGTATAAGCTAAGGAGGAGTCCTTAACTAAGACATTTAAGGACTTGATCCTTAATTATGTGGCAACGCTGATTGTCTATTTTGGTCATTCTTTTCCTTATAGGCTATATTTGTGACAAAAATCCTTTTAGACTTTTCTAAATTATTTTCTCATAAAATTTTAATTTCACATATTTTGAAATTTAATAATTTTTTCCTAGGAACTTCATAATGGATAACACCATTTGAGGAATATCTGTAATTAAAACTCTTAACTATTAAAAAAAAGACAATTTTTTTTTTGTTAATTACATATTTTTTTATTGATAAGCTGATCCCATTTATAAAAATAGATTAGGTCAAAAAATCACTTATCGCATAGAACATATCGTTTACACCGAAGAATCTTAGGCCTACTATTTAGTTATAATGAAACTATGTCAGCTCGGTTTTATATCATGATTTAGTAAATTAAAATTTAATTATTTGATGAGAAATTTACGTTCACATGTCAATCCTAACTATCTTCAAATAAAAATATATCTTCAATATTTTTTTTGGTGTCATTGTTCCATTTTAGTTATTGATCGATATAAATATTGATTTTTGAGTTTATTTATCATTTCGTTCTTTTGTTTTGGCCTTAGATTTGGAATTTTTTTAAAGATTTATAATTATTAAAGAGATATATAGTTAGGTTAAGATTCGCGCCTTGTGCTGAATAAATATTTTATGTTTATTACTTATTTTATGTTTTCTGCATATTATGAAATAATAATTATATATTAAGTAACTTATAAATCAATTACTATTTTGTAATAAATTTCCGTGCATATAAATCAAACGGCCTCTCTTGTTTATTCGCAATCATTTTAGGGTAAATAAATCAAAATAATCAATCTTATCTATTGTATTTGATATATAATTAAATTTTAATGATATTAACATAGATATATAATATACTTCAATATGAATATTTATTAAATGAGGTTTATACTCATATGATTTTATGATTATTTGCATATTTATGTAACAAAATTTTACACCAAAAGTTTTTTAATGTGGAAGGTTTAGCAGTTTTAATAATTTATAATCATTTAATAAACAATGATGATTTCAAAATTAAAATATTAAATTTGCAATATATGTTCAATGCAAAATCAAAATATAAGTATGTATTTTTATATGATGTATAGTTTAATTTAAACGATATGATATATATATATATATATTAACATAAAAACTTATTAAAATAAAATTATTTAAACCTTGATCACAAAAATTTATGTGAAACTTTTAACAGTTTTAATAATTTATACTGGTTTTGAAAAATTCAAAATACAACAGATACAAAAAAATCTTTATTTTTATATGATTAATGTAATTGTGTAATTTATTTAATAATAAATAATTAAACAAAAATAATAGAAATTATAAAATTTGTTAACAAATCTTTATTATTTAAAATCATTAATTGTCATATATTTCATAATCACATTAGGTAATTCCGTATGTTTTATTTAAGAAAAGATAAAATTAATAAAGATTTCCTAACGAATCGTATAATTTCTATTATTTTTGTTTAATTATTTATTATTAAATAAATTACACAATCACATTAATCATATAAAAATAAAGATTTAAGCAAAATTAGCATTATAATTACATGACAACTCAGCATGACACGTTTTTAATCAGTATAAATTTCATGTTATAATTAACTTTTATTTTTTTTATATTAATATATAGGAGATGTGAACGATATGTGTGACTGGCTTAATGATTATAAATTAATGTGTTTGCAATATATTTATTACCGGTTGTTTATCATACGAAATAATTTTTAACAATAAATTAACAATATTAACATATTATATAATTATAAAATATTTGACTTTATTCTAAAAATATTATTTTGTATGTATATAAATATATTAATTTATAAAATAATTATAGTGAAATTTTTTTTATTTTATTTTCTTACACCAACCAGATGTTATGACATTGGATAGTAAATACAAATTAAAGTATATATATGTAGCTATAAAATCTTAATTAAAAAAAAAACTTAAGTAAAAAATTACTTTACATTAAACTACTTTTTACAAAAAATTATTTACTATAGTATTTTTATGATTGTTGTAAAAACCAACAGGTACACTTGCAGCCCGCAAATTTATTGGATACTACTATTCATACTCTCTTCGTCACGCAGAAACGGTAGATTTAAAAATTCTATTTGTTTCACAAAATTAGTAGCTAAGTATAACTTATATGATTTCAATGTAATTTTATTATTTTATCTATTATTCATATTGGCTGAGACAATTATTATGTATTATAATTTTGTATATAAGTTATTAAAGAATGCTAGCAGCTTCGGAAGAATGGGAAAGGCCGGCCCGTTGATATTTTTTAAAAAATGAGTAGTATTGTTTTACAATCTTCACGGTGGGAGTATTAAAGTAGTCAACATGCGACATCGTACAAAAGCCAAAAGATCATTCGTTATACTAAGAATAATCGTACGAAATTGTTGAACTCGAGGACGTGCCACGTGCGTCACATAATAAAAAGTCAATCCCAATAACTGCCTTTATTAATGAGCTATTTAATACACCCATTTAAAACTATATTGAAGTTTTGATTAATCAATCATCAGAGATCCGATGAATCTTGATGTGAATGAGCTATATAATACTCCCTCTGTTTTAATATAAGTGTCACTCTACAACTATGCACACGGATTAAGGAAACAATTAATTTTACATATTTTCTATATAAAAACACAATTACCCACACACCTAACCATATTTTAACCAATAGAAAAACAAATTACATAATAAAATTAATAAATTTTGCATTGAAAACCGAAAATGACACTTATTTTGTAACACAAAAAATTCTCTACAACGACACTTAATATAAAACGGAGGGAGTATACCTTAAATTATATAAACCTTGACCGTAAACCCTGCCTTTATATATTGGTATAGTACTATGTATTTTCTTAAACTTGAGCGATCCGTTGAATTGCTCTACCCTTTCGTGTTAAAGACTGCTTCATGCGTGGTTTCATCATTATTTTACAAGGAATTTCATTTTTAATGTAGAATTTAGACAAAAGGTTATAATTTTATTTGGCTCATTATTTAAAATCAGAAAAGTTTTATTGTCATATTTGAAACACGTTAATAAACTAAAAAGGATTAAAGAAGACACTTAAAATGAAAGATCAGCAGTTTAGAAAAGAAGAAAAAGTACCTTCTCCGTTATCGTTAGCCTGAAGAACAATGAAGACGTATTTGAGGAGAGCGACGAGAGTAAGAGTGTAGATAATGAGCGAGAGAACACCGATTATATCATCTTTGTCCTGGATGCCTTCGGTGAAAGTACTTGCGTACACATATAAGGGTGATGTCCCGATGTCTCCATACACCACTCCTAGGCTTTGAAATGCCAAACTCATCGTCGTTCTCCAGCTCAGCTATTGCGTACAAAGTTATATTATTAACGTAGAAAGATAACCATATCTTCTCCTTCAAACACGGAGAGTGAATATTTAGATACGTACCAGTGAGGGGTGACGAGTATCGGTTGGAGTTTTCCCGGCCTCTATAGTGAAAGAATCGGGCCGAAATAGTTTCCCCCATGATTTCTGATGAATAATCAAATAAGAACAACAACAAGAATCTTAATGTTTTGACCAAAAAAAAAATAGAATATTAATGTTTTGAACTATGACGCTGATGTCTATATATACAAGAATCTGCATTCATACATGGCTGAGCATTAATAAACAGTTTCCTGCCTAGGTTTACTATTTACTGCGGTATCTATTCACTCCTTTCTGTAGATATTGAAAATTTAATTGGCACTAGACCAACTTAACCTATATATTCTTTCTGCTAAAAAACAGATGGTTTTAGTTTACAAAAAAAGACAGATGGTTTTAGTTTACAAAAAAAAACAGATGGTTCTGTGAATTTAAAATATATGCGAAATTTGAGTTTACTATTATATACTTACTTATACATATATATATATATATATATATATATATATATATATGCATATATTTTTATATATAGCAATTTTTAGAAGTAAATACATAAACCAGAGAAAGAGGTGAGATGATATAATTAAGTGACATGAAATAATTACCTTTTTCTCTTTCAGCATGTGGTCATGGTCATGGTTATGGTTTTGATCATAGTTATTAACTTCAACATCTCTCTGATCTTCCTCACCATCCATTTTTGTATTTGTTTTGTAATATTGTGGCACTTGAGAGAGGAGCTAGTCAGATCCGTTAAATCGGTTCTTTTCCAGTGGTCTTTATAGGCGTATCGTATGTTGACTTCATAAACACCCGAAATACTCAACCAGTGTAGGGCATAAAGTTAATTATTGTGGATTGACCAAATAAAAATAGAGTTATTATTTTTATTTTGGGTAGGGACGCGTCTCAAACACGTATTGCAGGCTGTAGAAACTTTTAAACGACGGTTTTCTTCAGCCATATTTTATTTGATCAAGCCTAAAAGGGTCACAATACTTTTTTGATTATTCATCAGAAATCATGGGGGAAACTATTTCGAGTAAAGCCTAAAATCCGATCTCATAAACTTTTCCATCTCAAATCCAATCCCTAAGAGATAACTTCAATACGATTTAAATTGTAAATATTTTGATGCCATAAAGTTTTCGGAACTGAACTACAGAGTCGGACAATTGGTAGAACAGTTAAACGTGAGAGTAGGGAAAAAAAAATTGGACCCTATAGCTACAAAAAAACCTAAATTAGGTAACTGGCCAAATTCCCCTTTTCTCTCTTCCAATCTCTTCCTATCTCTCTCTTCTCTCTCTCTCAAAATCTAAATTTTTTTTATGGATATTTCACAAATAAATCCAATAAAAATATGTTTAAATAGTTTTGGGTGTAGATTTTGTATTTACGAGCTTTCATATTTGGAAGTTTTAGATTTTCATGTAAAAAAAAAACTGTGGCGTGAATACGAGTATGGTGCGTATTCCACGGGCATTCTTACTAAATTAAGCTGGCCTTTCATTTTAAGTCATCCACCAGATTTTGATATGCGTTTTGAAATGTGAGTTTTTTTAGATTATAGATAAAACTTGATATAAATTAGGTGGTGTTATTTCATCATGTATTCTAATATAGTTTAAATATAAAAACAATCCACCATGATTTAACTGATGATTCTAAATTCTATTTTAAATTCTAATAATATTGAATATTATATTTCTAATTCTTATTTTAAATCTGGTGTTATTCAATAAATGAATTAAATCATAGTTTTAAATGAATAAGACTTAAGTTCACTCCATATGATGAACTTCAAGTCCACCTCTCTTTTTGTCATCAATCAATATGATATGTCATAATATCTTTAAATTTTAAAGATAGTGTATAATATTATTGATTAACAATCACTATGATGAGAGATGAAATTAATATATAGAGGAAATGTATCACATAAAATAAAGATTAATAGTATAAGTTAAAAAAAAATGAATCATATTTGATTCGATGATTGTATTCTTAGACGGTCCATCATGAAAAATATTATATATATATATATATATATATATATATATATATATGTTGGACATGCAGTTCATTTAATTCAAGAAGTATAGATGATAAAAAGTGAAATACTCTCTCTGTTTCCTAATACTTGACTAGTTAAGAGAATATTTTTTTATTACAAAATAAATAGATGAAGTTTCAATTTTCTATATAAAATTTATTAATAGTTAATGTTAAATGACTAATGATATTTTATCATTTATTTTATTATTGGTTGAATAATAGTTAGAAAATGGTTAATGATATTTTTGTTTAGAAAATATAAAAAATGAAATGTTTTATTAATCTATGTGAATAATATTAAAACGACATCTATTAAAAAACAAAGGAAAACGGAGTAGTAAATATGGACGGCTTGCATGCATAGGAATGCACATGAGAGGCCGAGTTCTTATAATTTGATTCCCAGACATCCAGTAACAGTATTAATCAATACTATCGTATTGTTAGAGAATGGAGTAAAAATCCGGTAAAACTAACGTATTGCTACAGACATATAAGGTAAGACTAAAAAAGTTAAATTTAATGAAATGTTCGTGCAACTTTGTTTAAATATATTTTATTTTAATAGTATAGATTGTAAAACTGGATTCGGATTCATATATTGTTTTGATTTTTTATTATCAAATACTTGTTCTGATATATAAGTTATAAAATTTTCATGTATATAAAAATGTATTAATTTTAAGAGAAAATCTCTCAAATAGACATTTTCAAGTTTTTATCACAAAATAGAGCTTAAAAAATAAAATGACCAAAAAAATATTTTTTTTTGAAATTTAAAGTTGTTTTTTTTAAAAAAAAAAAAAAATTTGAAATCCTACGCTAGAACCCCACTATTCAACTCTAAACAAAAAAGTCTAAGATTAGTTAACCCAAAATATATAAATCTATATTTACTTATTTTTAGTAAAACATTTAACTCTATATTGGTCATTTTATTTTTAAGGTTTATATTTGTGACAAAAATTTTGTAGGTTAATCATAAGAAATTTCTCTAATTTTAATTATTAATACATTATTTTCTGTTTTTAACTATTTTCATAAAATTTAATTAATAGCATTTCAATAAACATAACTATCTATTTGAAAATTTACAATTTAGCATTAAATAATGTACAGAAAGGAACTATAAGTTTTTGACTAATATATTTTGAGACTTGTACGATTTTAAATCAACATTATAGTAGTTTTGTTTATCAAAAAGGACAAAAATGTGAAAACAATTTTATATCAACAAATTTGAAACTGAAGTTTTAATAATATTACTGATTAAAGCTTTTGATTTCTGGAATGGATATTAGATTATATTTAATTAAAAAAAATCTTTTCAAAGAAAAAAAAAGACTATTTAGATATTTTTATCAACTGTTTTCAAAAGACAATGTTCTGCACGAATTGCTTCACCCGATGATATACTTATATGTATCTAGATCGAAGGATTAGCATTCACATGTTTGATTAGAACTAGATAATCTAATCAACTGCTACACCTGATGAATTTACTTTTAAACGTTGATTCATTACTTAGTGAATGATTGAGATTGAGTTCATTTTACTTGTTACTTTAAAAGTACTTGATTCGAGTTAAACTAACTATGAACTTGTATATTTTTGCAGTCTAGTGGTTAAGATTTTACAGAATGGAACTTTTCACACAGCATCTTGCTTGTCTTTGTATCAATGCAACTATTGTTGACTGGTGAAGTTCATGTGACTTGGACTCTGTTTTCAACTAAGTAGTCGATTGTTTATTACTCTTTTTCATCTTGTCACAGTCCTTATTTGAACGTCTCCAAACTCCACATGAAGTGCACTTTGGACGAGGCCAGGGATAACTGATTATGATGTTACTCCCGAGATTGTCAGTGATGTAAATTCTCTTCGATAGTTGTTGTTTAAGATTGAAAACTATGAGGACTCTTGCCAAATCCAACCGAATTTACCGCTCCATATTGCAATGAAGTTTTTTCTGAGCCTGATCACCAATGAATGTCAATTTCTTTTCCCGAAAACATTGCATGACATTCCTGGAAACTACTATACCTAAATTGGCCGTTCCTTAAGATATGGAGTATGAGAAGAATCCTCCGATTCTATTTTTTTTTTTTTTTTTGATCAAATCCTCCGATTCTATTTTTATACCATTATTTTGGAACTTTTTGTAATCATTATTTATTTAACCAATTTTTTTTTTTTGAAAACTAATGAAAGTTTGGACCAATGCCTTATAATCACCTCATATGCGCTCGGCGCTAATACTAATGATACGGCTTAAAACAACTCTCCAACGGAAATTAAACAATGACAAACAAGAGGCACAATAAAAACTAATTTCATATACTAAACTATTAGTCCGATAAACTGTTTGTTATTTAACCGAAGTTGATAGAAACTAATATGTTGCGTAAATACTCCAACATAAAATTCAAAAGTACTAAAACCAAAAAGTATCAAATAGCAAAACGAGATGAAATGACATTTCAAGCGTGTGCACCATAGAATGTCCTCATTTGTTAGCTTGATTGAAAATTTCAAAGACTGAAAATATAGAAGTTATATACTACAAATAACTAAAAAAATGTGTTGGGTTCCATGATTTATAATCAATACAATGTAGTTATTTAAACATCATGAAAATCTTCTTTTATTGAACATTTGTTAACTATTGTACATGCATCCAAAACATAACTTATAGTGTTATGTTAAAATCTGTGAAAATTACAAATTTAGTTCGAAACACAGGCAAAACAGACAGAGAAGATTTTAATCCTTTTTCATGTAGGTACGATGTCAACATTTAAGAGCATTTCAAACCTTATTTATTTTTTTTGTACAATAAATTATTTTAAATAAAATTTTCTTTAACTCGATTTCATTTTTAAGTGTATAATGGAGTAAAAATTAAAATAAAGCAAAGTATGTTATATACCATTCTATTTCTATTTTGGAATAAAAATAAAGTATAGTTGTAATAAATTTAACTACATATAAAATGAACCATATAATTATATTAGATTTTCTACTTTAGTTTTATACGCCTGCATCGACTCTTTTCCCGAATCAACTTGGCTCTCACAAATTATATCATTGCGCTACAAATCAATCTAGTATTTTAAAATACGTATTATTGAAGATTAATTTATTTAGTGAGGGTGACAGACTGACAGTACATTGCCAAATGATATATACTTTCCACTTATTGAATTTGTCAACTTTACCGATTCAATGGCATCTTACCAACCTTTATAATTATCTAGGAAATAATACGTCTGACTTAATAGCCTACATTATTGGAGTAAATAATAGTACCTAAACTTGGAAGTGGAATCCACTTCGAGTTCTGACAAATGTACGGCACCTGCAAATTACGATAAAATATCACATTAATTCACATTAATGTATTTTTGAAATTGCAATCAAAACTAAATTATGAGCGTTGACCTTTCACTATCACTTTTATTCTTTCAAATTCGACACCAAATTTTAACCATACTAGTGCCAGTTGAAACTATGGCTTTCCAATGGGTGATCCAGATAAAAAATACAGAACAAACAATAATGTAGATTAAGCATGAAAAATGCAGATTATACAGATCAAGTAGAAGAAATATAGATCAATCAGAACAAATATATCATATGTATCACCATCATCTCTTTGCAGAACATATTTTATTCTTCTGGCTTGGTGGTTACTCCGTGTTACGATTTGGATCTTAAAAGATAACAATACTGATAATCAAAGATGAGATATATTCGTATTACTCAGAAACGTTATACAAAGAGAGAAAACATGAGACAGTGTCTCTGCAACAATACTAATCACTCGATAATCCATCCCCTCTCTCCACCCCAGCTCATATATAGAGTTAACCATACTCCATAAAGTAACTATACCATGGTTACTTTTACTTAACCAAGGCTTCTTGCTCTTATCTTACTTCATCCAATACCCACACGTAACATTACTTCCCTCTTTGAATTCAACCTTGTCCTCAAGGTTGAAGCAAAGTAACAGCTTATGGTGGCAACCTCCCAATTCCATGAGCATTTATCATCCTGAAGATCACCTGCTCTCGCTACGTCTTGTTGCTTTGAGTTAGAGAAAATAACCTGTTTGAAAGAGTTTTCTACCATGACCAACACTGCCTTCTGCCAACTCTCAGTCTCTATCTGTTCACTGTGTAACTTGCAGTAACAGTCCAAAGCCTTGAACTGGCTCCAAGCCTGAGTGAAGTAAGCCTTTTTCCACTCCATGCCGTTCTCCAGATTAGCATCATCGCCTTCAAGTAACTTAAGGCAGAACCCCAACTTCACTCTTTCATGTTGTGAGATCTCTCTTTCAACTTTATCCCCCATTATATTTTCCATTGTGATCCCCGAAGCCACACCTCTACAGTTTTGAAAGGCAATCTGATAGGATGAACAAAGTAGAAACTCTGGTGGTCTTGGTGAATGCAACCAGTCGCCTGAGAAGATCCTGAGCTTGTGTCTCTCAAATGGTCCTGTCCTGAACTCGTCCCTGCTAGCCTCCTTGATTGTAACTTCACTGTTCATGATAAGAGTCAATCTGCCTCTCGTCCATCTATCAAAGATCGTGACAGTTTTGGTAACAATATACAGTACCATGACCTTGAAACTGATTCCTTCTCCCATCTGAACTTCAGATCTTACTTTCATCAAGTACACAAACGACAGAATCACATCAGACGCTCTGACCATGCCCCTTGTACCAAGATCTGTAGCTCTCACGGCCTGAGTGGTGTATCTTAAAAGCCTTGTTTCCCAGTAAAGATACAACAGAAGGATGCCCTCATCAGTAACTCTTCCTATCCAATCTGCGTGATCAAAACCTGCTCCATCTGGATCCCATTCGCTGCTAATCACATGCTCAGATCCTTCATTGCTCTGTAGGAGTAGATACATTGATTTTCCAGCAGCAATAGCAGTAATCACTCTTCCCACCACAAGCATCCACTGGTTCTTTTTGAAACACACTGAGTCTGGATCCCATACCTTCAGCTCACGCTGAGAAACCCATTTCTCAGAACAATTTAACCAAATTTTCAGAATGTACCTCGAGCACCATGACCATTTCACTTCTTTGCCCTTACTCATCTCAGTAGCTATCCGTATCAACAAAGAATTAAGCTTGATCCCGTCCTTGTGATTTTTCTGCTTGAACTTATGTTTCATCCATTTTTTCAGCTTCTTCTGAACTCTCTTAAGTTCCTGGAACAACTTCTCTTGCTCCAACTCAGGCCTGCTTCTCTTCATGTAAAACTTCACTCTTATTGCTGTATCCAGCGAGAAAAGCTTTCTACAAATACAGTGTTTGTATTTCCACTTGCCTCCCCTTCTCGTATAAGTAGCTAGCAGCAGCTCACATCCCCTCTTGTCAATATCATATAGCTTCAGCCCTTTTCTATTCTTCAAGCAAACCTTTCCAAAGTGATTTCTTTTACACAACCCCTGTAAGTTCATTCTTAAGGAATCCAACACCAGTTTAGTATCCCAAAAGAATAGAGTTTGGTTACTTGAGAGAGGCTTCCCACGAGTTACACACTTCGACCTTGCTCTTTTTCTCATAAAGGCAGCCAGCAACTTCCCACTCCTCATCAACACACTTCCTTGTTTGATCCATTCCCACTGATTTTTCTGCTTAAACTTGTATTTCATCAACTTTCCCAGCTTCCTCAAAACTCTTTCATGTCCCTGCATCAACCTAATTTGCTCTAATTCAAGCTTGATTCTCTTCTTTTCATACTCCCTCTTCAGTTTTCTCATACTCCTAAAGTGATTTTCTTTCTTGATAAACTTGATAAGCTTTTCCTTATGCTGTTTTCTCATACTCCCAAAGTGATTCTCCTTCTTGATAAACTTGATAAGCTTCTTCTTATGCTGCTGCAGCCTTGTACTCTTCTTCTTTTTCTCTGTTACCTTTAGCAGCAACAGCCTTTTGTCTAACTCTTGAATGTGGTGTATCTTCATCTCAAGACTTATCTTCTTGTTCCTTTTCATAACAACATCTGCCATCATGTGGTATTGTACTCGTTTTGCCATCCTCCTCAGCTTAACCCCTTCAGCCTCTAAGCCCTGTTTTGACCCTCCATACAGTATAAGGTCCTCCTCTGTATTCTCTGTCCGTTTCTTCCCTCTGATTAATAATAGCCACCTCCTGTCCAATCTTTGTCGAGTGTGTATCCAAAGACTGCTTATACCCCTGCACCACTTCAATAATTTTTTCCTTTGTCTCTTGGATGCACCCTCTATTTGTATTCCCCACAATTCTGACTTGTCATTTTCTTCATTGCTCAGAATAGCTTCTAACTGCTCTTGTATATCTGGAGAGAGTTTCTTCCATCTCTTCTTCTTCTTCTTCTTCTGCTTAGCATTTTGTTCCCCTCTCACAGGCATTTGATCAAACAGTTGATAGGCACAGTGACTCATCTTTATCTCTGTGCGTTTGCTTCCTTGTTGATGCTCATCCTTTCTCTCTGTGTGTTCTAACCCATAGAGCTCTTCTGTCACGTCTTTACCCCTCTCAAAATACTGTTCCACTCTACCAGCCAAGCTTCTTGGGTTATCCCCATTGAACCCAGAAAACGAGTTTCCAAACATTTGCGCCAACCCTTCGTCATTCCTTTGTGTAACCAAAAACGATAGATGATTGGGTTTTAGGCTTGTACTGAAAATCTCCTTGGATCCTCCATCATGATTCACACCCAGATTCAAGTCTCCATCAGCCATCGTCTCTTCTTTATGTGCTTTCCTGGCATCATCTTCTTCATCCCATCGATCAACCATACGACGACACTCTTCCAGCGTCTCAAACCGTTTCTTCTTTTCCTCCTCAGGCGTCATCACCGACCTGTCACGGTTCATCATGGCTCTGATCTCTTCTATCTCTTCCATGGAAATCCCTCTCTCCAAAGCGATTTCGGTCAGACGCTTCTCCATCTGCTCCTGGTGTGAGGATCTGCTCCACCGCTCTCGGACAACCATATCTGGCTTTGGGAACTTCACTATGTCCCTTTCCAGTTGTTGCTCCGCAACCAACGGTCTCATCCTCCTCACGCCATGATGCAAACGTTCCAGCACTTCATCGATTTCAGCTTTCTTCGACATGGGTCTCCGGGAATCGAACGGCTCTGATACCAATTTGTTACGATTTGGATCTTAAAAGATAACAATACTGATAATCAAAGATGAGATATATTCGTATTACTCAGAAACGTTATACAAAGAGAGAAAATATGAGACAGTGTCTCTGCAACAATACTAATCACTCGATAATCCCTCCCCTCTCTCCACCCCAGCTCATATATAGAGTTAACCATACTCCATAAAGTAACTATACCATGGTTACTTTTACTTAACCAAGGCTTCTTGCTCTTATCTTACTTCATCCAATACCCACACGTAACATTCCGATAGACTAAATGTATGTGTCATCAATCATCATGCAGTTACATCTTAAAATCTTATCTCTAACAATATTTTGCCCCTTTCACAACTTTCAAGTATACAAATAGAGATCGATCGTCGTCGTTTCTCAAGAAGTTTGAAAATGTTTCGAAGAACTATTTATATCCCAATATGGATGAAGCCCAACTAATATATCTATTTAAAGGCCCATTACGAGAGAGGCCCAGTAGAAATACTATTGACCGGAAAAGGTAGTCACTTGGGGGAGCACGGTGACTCGTACTCCCTAGGGTTCGAATTTTTCCCTCTCTTTCTCTCGGGAAAAAAGGAAAACGAGGAAGATGGAGAATCATCCGCCGAACAGAGGAATGCGGAATCAAGAGCACAGTCATACTCGAATCTCTCAGTGCTTCAGGGTCGCGAAAAGACCTTCTGAGAATGCATCTAACTTCTCCACTCCTTTTCCTAAAAGGTTCGATTTTTTTTTTCTTAATCTTTTTCAGTTAATTCGAATCATTGGAATTGGGTTCATCGGATTTGATGTAAAAATGTGAAAAAGTTCTCTACTTGGTGTTGCAGAATCAAGGAATCAATGGCTACTGAATCACTCCCTCACACCTTCAAAAGGGTTCCACTTATGGAGTTATCAACGAATACAACTCCTCACAAACGCCTTAAAGTAGGGTTTGAGTCATCTCATGTTGGTGGCGTGAGTATTCCTTCTCCTGATTTTAGTCTGGATAAGGAGGTTTTAGATGCATCTCGTTCTGAGGTTTCATCAGACACGTTTGTTACTCCCTTGAAAGAGGAGTCAGAAAGAGTTTCACTAAGCTATGGTGGTTGCTCTACTTCCTCACTTCTTGATGATGAGATTGATGATTCCATTTTGGAAGAGATTGACGCTATCTGTGAACAGTCAGCGAGGAAAATAGCGTCTCAAACTCCAACTACCAGCATGACTCAGACACCCTCCAAAGATTATCAGAGCAGTTCTTCACTTCTTGATGATGATATTGATGATTCGGTTTTAGAGGAGATTGATGCTATTTGTGAAGAGTCAGCGAGGAAAATAGCTTGTCAAACTCCAAGTACTAGTATAAATCTGACACCGTTGAAAGATAATGAGTGCAGTGATCTTAAGGTTGATTTGGGTTTTAGTGCTGTGAAAATGTCTGAGCCAGACTCCGAGGTTAAATTGGAGCTCAATGAAGAAGCCACTGTTGCTGCTGATCCTGCATTGATCAATAGCATGCCTGAGGAGTGTTCAAAATATATGCAGTCTTTGAATGATAGACAGCGTGATGCTGCTTGTAGTGATATTTCAACTCCTTTGATGGTTATCGCTGGGCCTGGAAGTGGAAAGGTCGGTACCTAATTACACTACTTTTCATTTGAGAAAAGACTCTTTTTAGTACTAATTATTCCTTTTCTCCATGTTAGACTTCCACCATGGTTGGCCGTGTCTTAGTGTTGCTCAGTGAGGTACGATCAGTTATCGCCGGTGAATGATTTGGAACATCTTCCGTACTTGAGATGTTATATATGAAATTAGATTTGCAACTGTCTTTACACGTTGTGTGTTCTTTTGAACTTAATAGGGTCTACTTCCATCAAATATCCTTGCAATGACTTTCACTACAGCGGCAACTGCTGAGATGAGAGAGCGCATAGGAAAATCTGCTGGAAAGAAGGCAGCCAAAGAAATAACAATCAGCACATTCCATTCATTTTCTTTACAGCTTTGCCGGATGCATGCAGACAAGTGAGAATATGAGTTTTAAATTGCTTGGTAAATTTGTGAGAATATGAGTTTTAAATTGCTTGGCAAATTTGTGAGATCTTCTTTTGGTGGTTAATCTTGAGTCAAAATGTAGGTAGAGGTCGTGAAACATTTTTTTTTCTTTTTCTAACACTGAAAATTTTAACTTTTGATGTTGTTAACTTCGTGACTTACGTATAAGACCAGGAACGGAGGTAAGTTTAGGTGATGAAAATCTGTTCTTGTTAGAATAGTTATCTGCACTGCAGAGTTGCTGATTCACTAATTCTATATTACTGTTCGTTTGTAGTTGTTAGTTACATATCAGTCTTTGACGCCTTTAAGGTTATAAATTCATTTGATTGATGTGCCTTATACCTTTCCTACCGTCACAGGTTACAACGTACATCTGAATTTTCAGTGTATGGACATGGGCAACAAAGAAGAGCAATTATTGAAGCAGTGCGTTTATATGAGGAAGGGAAGAACGGAAGCAGTACTTCCGTTGCATGTGAATCTGCGGAAGCTCTCAATGGAGCCGGTGCTGGAGCAGTATGTCCTGAATATGTCAAGGATAGATCAAAGAAATGGCAAAAATATGTGACCCAGGTTGACTATTACGAATTAATATATCTACTTGATGGTCTATTGATAGTGCGTGTATATTGTCTTTCAGATTTAGTTCGTCTCTTAACATTAGCTATCTTCAACTTTTTTTCTGCGCCTTAGGCAAAGGCTTCGGGTAGAACTTCGGAGGAGTGCCGTAAGATGGGCAATGAGATAGGAGTAAGGCAGCTAGATTTTGTTTCAGGCATCTGTGCTTTGAAGTTTGAATTAGACCATACGATATGATTAGTCTACTGGTTGTGATACAGGCTAAAATTCTTGGAAACTACAGTGATATCCTTAAAGAGTGCGATGCTCTGGACTATCATGATTTGATCAGTTGTTCGGTCACCCTGCTCTCCGACTTTCCTGAAGGTAAACCCACATAAATTATATTTTCTGGCTTTAAGATGTTTGACACTTGATAATTACTTGTGCTTACTCGTCTTTGCTATTAAAGTATTTAAGGAATGCCAAGATACGTGGAAAGCCATCATAGTTGATGAATTCCAGGACACTAGCACAATGCAGTACAAGCTTTTACGAATGCTAGGATCTCACAATCACATAACCATTGTTGGTGATGATGATCAGGTACCTTATATACAAGTATAACTGACTGATTTTGTTTGATTGTTTAAAATTGGTAGCATGACGGATCTTTTCTCGCAGTCCATCTTCGGTTTTAACGGGGCGGACAGTTCAGGATTTGATTCCTTTCGCAGAGATTTCCCAAATTACAAAGAGGTTCGTCTTCTCCATCTGAATTAATTCTTAGACTATACCACATATGATGCATAAGCTTTGAAAAAAAAAGCTTACATCATTGAATTATGGTATGCAGAAAACTCATCTTAGTGCTTTTGATTCAGGTCCGGCTGATAAAAAACTATCGCTCCTCCCGCCATATTGTGGAAGCTGCATCTTCTATTATAAAAAACAACACGAAGCGGTGCCAATCTAAAAGCATTTCGGCTGAAAACTCTCAGGGATCTAAGGCAAGTTGAATTTATCTCTCTGGGAAATTGCGTTAATCGCTGCAGCTAAATTTTTTATTTTCGACCCAGTCTAGGTTACTGTCAAGGAATGCCATAACGAGGAAGCACAATGTGCATTTGTTATTGACAAAATAATTGAAATGACGAATGATGCCTCAATGCCTTGTTGCTCCCATGGAGATATTGCCATCTTGTATAGGAGGCAGGTCAGTCCTTTTCTTTTCCTCAGTGAATGTTGTCGTAACGTAAAAAAATCTTGTTAACATATTTACGTGCTGGTAAGTGACGATGTGCTGATATTCAGGTGTCAGGTAAAGTCTTCCAAAATGCATTCCGGCAGAGGAAAATACCATTTAATGTTCATGGTGTCGCTTTCTACAGAAAAAAGGTAGTTTGACTCATAAGTAGCTCATCGTTTTAATTGTTGCATGATCTCCATGTATCACAACGCTTGACATCGACAGTTCCTTCGCATGGCTACCTTAGCTTTGCATATTTCAGACGATAAGCTCCATCTAATAGAGAGAATACATATAATTTTTTGACGTTAGGTTGTACGGATCATTTTGGCCATGCTGAGAACAACATTTTCCGAATGTGATGATGCTTCGTATCGGCGAGTGTTTAAGGCATTACTTCCTTTTGAGAAAGAGGAAAAGAAAAGGGTTTGTACCTCATTTGCTCTCATGTTACTTCATTTGTATGATTATCTGTGATACCTTTTCTTACCTTTTCTTTCTCAGCTTTGGCTATCAGGACATAGGCGGTTAGTTAAATAATTTATTTACCACCGTTTGCAGGTTATAGATCATATTGACAAAATCTCCACTAGTAGGAAATGCAGCTTCATTTTAGCCGCAAGTGATATCTTCAGTGCCAAAATTTCTGGTACCTTCAAGAGGTATTACTTGATGATTACATAAAGAAAGCTATAGTGTACTGCTTTAGTTTTTATTCTGAATTGCAAATACTAATTGCTTCTAGGTTTATGTACTAGGATATATATACAGGTGTTCTCATATAAATGTGTCTGCTTATGTTTTTCATGATGCATACTAGTGTGATAGATATAGGTCGTTTATCACCCAGATTTAGGTGACACTGTGTGTATACGTATATATTTTAATGTGTATATCCAGATTCTAAGAATGAGATGCTGTAAATTATATCCCCTCAGAGTTTTGTTACCTTAATTCATGTGTCCTGTAAAACTTATTAGGTTCATTTGATTAACCACAGGAACCAGCTTACCCAGGGACGTAAAGTGCTGCAAACTCTTGACATGATAGCAAAGCTCGTTGATAGGGTAAATATTTGTTTCCCGCTCCTTTAATTACAATGAACGCATCAATCATTAGTTGAAGTGATGATGCTTGTTTCAACTTAGCACTACTAATGCCCTACATCGTAATTATTTGCAGGAACAATCACTTTCAGCTGTAGTAACATGTGTGGCAAATATGATACCGCAGGTAAATTAGTTTCTGTCTTGAGTGATGGCATGCTTATAACTATTACCCGGGACCGTCATCGCTAGAGTTGTAAAAACATGAAGACATATAAATTCTCTTGATATGCGATGTTGAGACTGAGATAAATATGAACCTTATGCTTCCAATTTCATTCTCGAAAGTTATTAGATATCATATGATTATATGTTGAAGATATAACTTTCACTTGAAAGAGTTTATGAACATGCGACTTTGCTTTGAAGATTTAACTCTCTTTCCTTACAAAAATTGTGTGCAATATCATACCATTTCTTTTCTTGATCACGCTTGCCTGCTCATGTTGTTTTTTACTTCTAGAAATACCTTCTTGAGAAGCGAGCAGTTGTGGATAACGATGGCGGAAAACTGCTTAATGAAGACAACGATCTTAGATCTGTACGTGGCTTTTGCTCTTAAAATTTTGAATTATTTTTTTTCCGTATGCATGTTTTAAAAAAACATTGGGGAATACTTTCCTGTTTTGTAGGTTCTCCAATACTTAATGGATGATGTAGCTGAGTTTATTTCTACTTATTGCACCACAACTGGAGAAGAAGTGGATGAAATCAAAGAAAAGAAAGGCTGCAATCAACTTAATTCATTTGTCAACTACATCTCCGAGCGCGAGACTGAAAATTTTCGTTTAAGAAGACATGACAATGAAAATTCTGTCACATTAACCACCATTCATCAGGTTTTTGTCATCCACTCGAGAATTCGACAGTTTGGAATCCATTAGTTATAGTATTAGTTACTCCAGCTAGCAATGGAAATATTAGCTTATATCCTGTGTTTGTCGTTATGCAGTCTAAAGGTTTGGAGTGGGACGTAGTTTTCATAATCAAGGTATATATCATCTCTCTTTTTTTCCGGGCTGTTGACGGATATGAACCTAGCATGATGCCAAATACGTGTTTTATAAAAGCAATGAAACTATAAATTCCTTTGCCCGGTTTGAATCCAAGTTTTACTGAACAGGCTAATGATAACGAGATTCCCCTATTACATGAGTCTAACGGCACTGCATCGGAGGGTGGAACATCACTTGAGGTATCACTCTTCCTTTTCCTGAAGTTTTTATTAACGATCGATCTATCCACTTTAACGATCGATCTACCCACTTCCCGCCTCTGCAACTCCAGAAATATATATTTAGCGCTTTGTTTGTTTAAATTTGTAGGAAGAGCGACGCCTTCTGTATGTTGCTATGACTCGTGCTCGCAAGAAATTATTTTTCTTGTACGTAACAGTGGATTCAAACTGGCAGGTTAGTACTACACATGTTGTGAAATTTTCCTCTCAATTTTCGTGTCTGACTAATCATCTTCCATCTAGGTGCTTCAACCATCACGATTTCTTAAAGAGATTCCGAGCCATCTTCTACAGGTTCAGAACTCAGTTTGTTTACTATTTTACGCATAATAATGTGAAAGCGCTAATAAGAGGTTCTTTTATTTTTTAATTTTTTTTTTTATAGGGAGACCTGAGCATAAATGACTGCAGACAAGTTAATCAAAACCTTCCAAACAAGACTGAGCAAAGTGTCTCTAATTTTGGGACAGAGTTAAAGCATGAAGATAATAAACCAACTGATAACAATATGATGAACATTCCAGTAGATGATGCTACCGAGGAGTCAATAGAAGCTGCATGTGCACTCAATGGGAACAATTTCCTTAAGAGGTTACGTGCTTAAAAACCATCATAAATATATTAATTGGCAGTGTAGCATTCAGAGGTGTATAACTTTTTTCCTCAACAGGTTTGATGTGGAGGTTAGATCAGTTGTCTCTCACTTATTTCACAATTGGGCTAAGAAACAAGCCTTCCAGGACCCGAAGAGGCTGATTGACAAAGTGAGTATTATGTACTCAATTTGTCTGCAATATTTCTCGACCATTTGATGTAAGAGCCAAGCAGTGTTCTTAGCTTACCTTTCTTATCAATGTTTTTGTACATGCAGGTAAGGTTTGTGGTCGGTGAACGTTTGGCCATCAAGAAGGAGAAACACAAGGTTGTATACTTCTCTCGTTACATTTGGTGTCGTCTAGATATTTATTTGTAAACAAACCGATGCAGTCGTTTTCTTGTGAGCTTATTTATGAGACTTATTGCTTAAAGCCTACTAAAGCCAAACAGAGTGTTGGAATATGCTTTGGTAACTAACTGGATGGTGCACTATTTTGTTAGGATGTCTTACGGGAACTTAAATCATCATTGACTTCCGAAGAAGCGTTCCAGTACGCTGAACATGTGAGGACGTTATCCAAAAACACTGTCACACTAATGAGTTGATAATGCAAATGAGAACTGAGATTGTGGTGCCCTGTTCCTGTGTATTCTGGGGATGTGCAGGTACTTAGGTGGGAAAAACTTCCTGCAGACACACGGGCTCATATAATGCGAGAGAAACAGGTAGTGTATCTCTGTTTTAGAGAAAGCAAGAAAGTATTAATAAACTCACTCCTTACACTTGGGAATAAACTCACTCCTTACACTTGGGAAAATTTTATGTTTCAGGAGCATTTTCAAAAACTTAGAATTGAAAATTCAATGGGTACATCAGAAGCAACGAGTAAACAGGTAAAACATTGACTATTCATCCAACGCATTGCACAATACTTCAGTTCAGCTGGCATTTTGGCCAATAATACAACTGTTATTAATGTTTTTGGGATGGCAGATCGCATTTCTGCATAGTCTAGGATGCACGGTGGTCCCAACATCACGTCTCCATGCGTCCCGTTTGATCGAGCAGTACAAATCACTGTGAGATTATTGGTGTTGTATATATGATAAAATTAAGGGGCCTGGAAATGTATCGCTTTCCTGATGGAAGAAATGTATATAGTGATTATCATTCGGCCATTAGTTGGAAGTCTGAAATAAAGAGTTAATGATGTAACTCTCCCACATGCCTCATTTGAACGAGTTTGCGAGACTCTTTTGTCTTTTGGATAAAATGTGAATGTAACTGGAAAATCCTAGAAGATGTTATTTATATACTAGATTTGGACACCACTATATTTTGAACACAAGACGAGATGCTTAGATACACCACTTTGGTTGTTTTTGTCCAGTATCACACATTTACACAGTATGATTCTTATTAACAATTGATAGTACCGTATGATCAAGGGAAGACACGAATGTGAATGTGATGTACAGAGTACTGAACTTTCATGAGACAACTCACTTTTTATGTGCTTGAACGACTAGTCGACTAGTCTCTTAACCATAACATCTGATTGGATCATTGCAACCTTTCTCAGCCGATTGTCTCCGACCCATGCCACCGCCTTTTGCCAGGTATTGCTGATGGTATTCTTCTGCTCTGTAGAATTTCTTAGCGGGAAGAATCTCAGTCACAATCTTCTTGTTCAAGATCTTCTCCTGCTTCTCCAAAGATTCACGAGCTAACTTCTCTTGCTCGTCTGTGTAATAGTATATCCCTGATCGGTACTGCGTTCCCACATCATTCCCCTACTCAACCAACAAAAAAAAACTCAGCACACTTATGATGTGTAAAGAACATGTTCTGTTTCAGCATAGTGGCAATGGCAATGTCAGTTCCAGATAACTTAACATGCAAAGAACATGTTCTGTTCCAGCTATTAACATGATATAATGCATGCAATAAAGCCTTACGACTTTTATCAGTATAAAGCTATTATGACCTGACGATTCAAGGTGGTGGGATCATGACGCTTCCAGAAAACATCAAGCAAGTTATCAAAGCTACACTCTTTAGGATCATACTGAACTCTAACAACCTCGTTATGTCCCGTCATACCAGTACAAACATCCTCGTATATGGGATTGTGCACGAACCCATGGCTATAACCAACCTCTGTTTTCGTCACACCAGGGACTCTCTGGTAAGCCAACTCCAGTCCCCAAAAGCAACCCGCGCCGAACTGCGCGAACTGCTGACCTGGCGAAGGAACGTCGTCGTCAGGTCCTTGGGCTATTGCTGCGGAAGACGGGTCTTTCTGGGAACTAGACCCGAACCCGAGTCTGTTGAAGAGGTTGTTCATCGGGGGTTTGTAGATGGAGACGGAACGAGCGGTTTTGGGGAAAGGGCAAGTGGGTTTGGCTTTGGTAGAGAAGGGAAGTAGTGGGGATTTAGAGAGAGAGTGGAGAGGTTTTGAGAGAGAAGCGGCGGAGATAACCGGAGGAGAGGTGATGATGAGAGCTAGCATATTATCGAAGGGAGTGACGTGGAAATATGGGAACTTCAGACTTGTACGGCTTATATTTATAAATTTATAATCCAGGTATGCACGAAAATGTTCGTTCAGTTTCGAGAAAATTCCGACACAAATTTTCTCAAAATTCTCAATAAATAGCAGTCGAGTAAACTAGAGATGCAAGATTTTTTTTTTTTTTTTTTTTTGGCCATCTACAAATTTCCATTTAAGCAAGGATAACATACAAAAGCATATACACAAAGCATCCAAGCCAAGACCACAAACACTAGTGGTCTCTATCAAAAACGTAAGACAACCATATAGGATGTCCCCTAGCCACATACGATTAAAACCTAACTTCAAGAGCTGCCCGCCAATTCAAAAATCAAAGATATAAATGTGAATAAATTATTTCAGTCCGAATGCCCAGGCCTAATTTCAGATGTGTATTTTTTTGGTTAATAAACTGAAAAGCTTTGTAAAATAAAATAAACTGTATCCAAGAAAATTGGATCATGAAAACAGAGATAAAACACTACATTTGATCCAAGAGTATCTAAAACACAAATATGTATAATTTTTAGGCAAGATTGTTTTAGTCTCCATTTTTATTTTATTTTTTGCATTATTCTCTCTGTTTAGATCAGCTTCGTCGTTGGTGATCAGAAATGATTGTTCATTACACCATGAGGGAGGGTATCATGCCCTACATTAATTGTTATTCTCCTCGTTTTTATATTTTGCTTATGTTTGTTTACATGCTGCTTTTACATGTTGTTATGATTTGCACTTACGACCGACCACAATGTTGTTCCTTTGAATGTTGCGGCATCTTACAAATAATTATATCAAACATTTGCATTTAAAAAAATTGATAAAAAACTTAGCGACCTAAATTAACAACGTACGACTAACGGTCGGTTGGGTAACATGGAAACGAAGAATAAATAACTATGAGTGATCGCAGTCGCAGACTAAACGATCCATGTTGTCCTTTAACAATAACAAAGAAAAGAAAAACAATTCCATGTTATATAAAAAAGGTGTTTCATCTTTTGGAATTTTCAAAGTTGCGGGTACATGAAAAATAGTCTTGGGTTTCATCGTTCGGAACTTGATTATGATGCCATCGATGGTAGACCGTTTGAAAATTTAATGGACGACCCGAATATTAAACAAGTCTAGTGGTTCGTTTTGTGTGAAACATTCGGTTCAAAAAAAAAAAAATGTTCGGTTCAATGCCGACGCCACATTCATAGGATTCGAGACTAAAACCCAAACGTGTCTACAAGTTGATCTCTCTCGTTTACACATCAACGGCTGCATGGAGACACCATTAACACGTGGTGTACAAAGCATGAGGACACCATTGACACGTTACTCGGATCTCTTCCCTTCTCTTAATATATCTAATCAATTCAACACTCATAACTATTCCATAATATAGTCATATCCTTCTCTCTCTGATCTCTCAATACAATCTCTCCTTTTTCTAGTCAACATGGCGGATACAGCTAGAACTCATCACGATATCACCACTCGAGACCAGTATCCTATAATGGGTCGAGACCGAGACCAGTACTCGATGACTGGACGGGACCACTACCAAGGTTCCGGCCAAAACTACTCCAAATCTAGGCAGATTGCTAAAGCAACTACTGCAGTCACGGCTGGTGGATCCCTCCTTGTCCTCTCTAGTCTCACCCTTGTGGGAACGGTCATTGCATTGATAGTTGCCACGCCACTGCTTGTTATCTTTAGCCCAATTCTCGTCCCCGCTCTCATCACCGTGGCACTGCTCACCACGGGCTTTCTCTCCTCTGGTGGGTTTGGCATTGCAGCTATAACGGTCTTCTCTTGGATCTACAAGTAAGTAGTCATTTACCATGTATTTCCATTTGTGGTATATGTTGTTATATTCATGATCAATACAAAAATATGTTTAACGAGGGGTAATTAATTAAATAATAATATCTTAACCATAATGCCATATCTTTAGAGGGAAAAGGAAAATGTAAGACTAAAACATTCATAAACATCTAACATATTAGCTTTAGATCAAGAATTTTTTGTGTGGATTATAAGATATTGCATCAAATACACATCGTCAAGATCATTTTAACTAGTTAAACACATAACTTTATATAACTACATCTCTATTATATGAATATAAATTACTTCGTAGTATGATGCATGTATGTGTGTTTGTATGTGACGCGTAGGTATGCAACAGGAGAGCACCCACAGGGGTCTGATAGGCTGGACAGTGCACGGATGAAGCTAGGAGGCAAATTTCAAGATATGAAGGACAGAGCTCAGTACTATGGACAACAACATACAGGTGGGGAACACGACCGTGACCACCACCGTGACCACCGCACCCGTGGAACTCAGCACACTACGTAAATCCTCCGGGGTCCAGCTTATGAGGAGCATGGTGTTTAGATTTGATCATGATGGATGATAAATGGGGAAAACCGATCTCATGAGTTTTTTGTTGTTGTCCTAAATAATTGCAAGTCTGTACTTCTCTAGTCAAATAGTACCATGTCTTGTTTTGTTATTCTCTTTATTGTAATTTGTTACTTTATGTTGTAGTTTCTCTGCCTTGTTTGTAAGTGGTAACGTCTATATGGGAAAATCTCTTGTGCTACGTATATTAATGGCCATAAATAAGAACTCTTTCTGTTTCAATTTATTTGTCCTCTGTTTTGTTTCAATTTATTTTTTGTTGTTTTGGGTTTTTTTACAGACAGATTTTTTTAAAAAATCATTTAATTTTACCTATTTTTTTTTGAAAAAATAATGATTATCTTAAGAATTAATCAATAGAAAAATATAATAATAGATAAAATCAATGAATTTTGTATTGAAATTTTAAAACAGATTTATTTTAAAATAAAATTTTTAAATTTTAGTCTGACTAACGGACGAAGAATTAACAGACAGTCGGTTTCGGTTTTTAAGCTGGGGTTATCGTTTTCAGACAACACTGGAAACTTACCATTACAGCAGACAACAATGGAAACTTACCATTACAGTTTACTTCCATCCGACACATCAAGATAGGCTAGCAATGGATACATCAATTTGCAGACGTGTCTGAGAATTACATGTAGCTGTTTATATACTAAAAAAACGCATTCACAGGTTTTACTTTTACTTTTGTCTAGACCTCCACTCCATGATGGCTGTATACAGAGCATAGTTGGGCAAAAGGTTCTTGTCATTTAACGGTGAATCCGTCATTGGCGATGTGTCGTGCTTCTCAAGCCACTTTTCTATCGCATGACGGTCATACGTGTATCCATCAGCTGCAACGCAAGGCTCGTTCATGACGTCCTGCATTGTATATAACAAGCTCTCACATTTCCATCAAACTTACACAACAACTTCGAGCCTCAAATGTTTGTTCACCCCTAATAGCATTTATACCTAAACAATTGCTTGACTTGCAAGTAACCAATGACATAAAGAAACAAGGACAATATAGTTACCTTAAGTAAGGGGCATATGAAATGTTTTGGAGGCTGTGTCGGCAACCCGAAGATTGGATTCCTTGCCTTCTCAGCTACTCTTTTCATGCTCTCCAGCGTCGGAATAATCTGACTCTTTAAATCAGGCCTATCTTTCCCGCGTAGCTCTGTGCAACACAAAGCCAATGCGGTCAACTCACGGGTCTCAACAATTGGCCAGTTACCCGCTTTTCGATCTAAGATCTTGAGAAACCCATCGTTACTATCCATCGCAGCCTCAACTAAGTGTGTTAATGCCATAGCCGGTTTTGCCGTGAGAAGCTGAAGAAGTATTATTCCAAATGAATAGACATCTGACTTAGTTGATATCATTCCTGTGCGTTGATACTCAGGATCCATATAACTTAACGTCCCTACAGGGGTTGTTTGTTTGTATATAGTGAACTTAGTTGATAAATTGTCGACTTGAACCATGGTTGAGAGTCCAACGTCTCCCACTTTGCTGACAAAGTTGTGATCAAGTAAGATGTTTGCGGGTTTTAGATCACGGTGGATGATCGGTTGAGGCTTTGATTTGTGGAGGAAGACGAGAGCCGATGCGACTTCCCAAGCGATCCTAACCCGCTCAAACCAGGGAAGTGGGGGAGTGTTGTTGACCTGGAAAAGTCTGTCCTCCAGGTTACCATTTTCCATGTATTCATAAACTAAAGCTCCTTTCTCCGGGCATGCTCCTATAAGGAGAACCAAGTGCGGGTGCCGAATCTTACTCAAGATTTCTAGCTGCAAAGTGCAAAGACCAGAGAGATAAGTGTAGGTACTAAAAGAGAAGACATTTTCCTTTTTAGGATGGACATACAAACCAAGAACCAAAACCAAACCACAACAGAACCAAAAAACTGAACCCAAATTAGAACCAATGTTCATAAATATGCGAACGGCTACTATATCTTTGGAAATCGAGAATCAAATGGGTACTAAATACAGTTTATATACTTACTAATATAAATTATATTTAGTTTTAAAGTTATAAAAAATACTTAAAACTATTTATGAACCGAACTATCCAAAATACTTAAAAATGATACTTATGAACCGAACTATCCAAAATACCGAAAGCGAATTGTCTGAATATTTTAATCCAGAATATTAAATTTATCAGTATTATCCGATATTTTATCCAAAAATATTATTTAAATTCAATACGATCCAAAAAAACCGGAACCGAAGTGAAACCAAATTTTTATTGGATATTGCCTGGTTCTTAACTTTGTTATCCAAATCAAATTGATAACTAATAAACCAAATCCAAACCAAATAATTCTTAGATCTTTAAAACTGAAAAAACAAAAGGGAGCAGAACCGAAAACCGAATGCCCATGCACCTAGACTGAACCGAAACTTGAGCCTAGTTTCATACCTCTTGTTGGAACTCTTTGGACAGACGACTTTCAGGGGAATGCAGAACTTTGACAGCTGCGGTTGTATGATGCAGACTACACTTGTAAACAGCTCCACAAACTCCCATTCCAATCTTCATCTCATCTGAGAAAGATGAAGTGGCAGCCACAATTTCTTCCCAAGTGAAGTGTTGATATTGCAGCTGTGGAGACACAAGAGTGCCTTCAAGCTTCTCTTTCTCTTGAGCATCACGAGTGGCTCTCCTCTCAGCTGCTCTCCTCTTCGCTATTTCTCTCTCCACTTTTTTTCTCATGATCTCTACATCTTGCCTCGCCTTTTCAAATTTCTGCTTTTCCTTTTCTGCTAACTCTTGAGCTTCGTACTCCTTTAGCTTTATCTCTTCAAGCTTTCTGGCTTCTTCTAACCGGCGATGGTTAATCTCACCAAGCTGAAACAATTTTAAAAATGCATTGAGCACAAACTTATAGGTTTCATCAAATGAAAAGCTATGTGCCCTTCACCTTTCGAGAAGCATCAAAGATTTCGGTTTGAGCAACTGCATACATTTCTTGAATGTGTCTAAGCTCAGCGTTCAATTTATCTACCTCGAAACTAATTAGGTTGACCTGAACAAACAAAAGACATATTATTATTATTATTATTATTATTATTATTATTATTATTATTATTATTATTATTATTATTATTATTATTATTATTATTATTATTATTATTATTATTATTATTATTATTCACAAGACAGTGCTGAATTAAGACTCCATTTTAATACCTGGTTACTTGTACAAGATTGTTCACTTGTATTATCCCACATGCTGGAAGCTTGTTCAGAAGTACGAGAGTGAGTGGCATTCCCATATTCATAGTTGCTCGAAGAAGAACTCATTGAGTATTTTCTCATCTCATAATCTCTTAGCGATGGAGTTGAAAATGATGTACATGTGCTACTGTTATTGATACTTGAAACATCATTAGCTTCCTGTGCATTCAGAGACATCCACTTGGTTTCACCCAAGCCAACAGAATTCGTTTCTGATCGAGCTGATGGTTGTCTTGAAACAGTCGGTACATGTTGCAATCTCCTTATCGGAAGGGATAGAGCACGAGAGAGAGAGTGACCTACACTTAAAGTTCCATCTGTTGATTCTAGAAAAGAAATGGTGGTAGAACAATTAGACCTACACACCATATTTAGTAACATATTCAAACAAATACATTGATGAGTCAAGGACCTGAGATGGCACCGGAAGAACGGCTGGAGTCAATCTTTCCGTTACTATCTTCTCTTATAGAGTCATTTGCATGTGAGTGTGATGGTCGGACGCTTGAAAGTTTTCCCTTTTTAACAACATAGACTGTACAAGAATTTGGCAACCAAGCTAATATGGCCGAGCACAGATCAACTTTCCTGGAATTTTCAAAGGAGTTTCATTGGTAGAAATTAACAAATAATAGGTTCAAAGCTAGCAGGTCATTGGTGTGTAGTGGTACCTTGAGAAAAAACTACGGGATGAGCTTCCAATAACAAGTTTCTCTATTGAATTCCGAGTAACTTCTTCAGCTATTGCAGCTGCCACATTATTTGATTCGATCACAAGAACTTCTACTGCAACCTTTAGTTCAATGTAATTCGAAAAAGACTTTAGGTTTTGATCTTAGTATTGAAAGCAAAACATAATAAATCGTGTAATGATATCAGAATTTAATTTTTAAGTTTATCACTCACTTTCAACTTAAAACAAACTAGATCCGCGCAACCGCGCAAATGTTTGTTTTCACTTTTATAAACATAAATATTTGTTTTAGAATATAAGTGCTATATTTTTAACGCAATCATAACTTAAATGTTTATATAACTATTTCAAATACAATAATTTTATAATTTACATGTTATATTAATCAATTGTTAAAATCATTTGTATATGTCACTTCTTAGTATATATTTGTCTTATAGTATTGGCATTTAGTTATTAAACAAATTGATTTATTCATGAGAAAATATATTTGAAAATTATTTTATATTTAATTTATGGCAAATTCTGATCTGGCCTTCAAAACTAGATTTTTTTTTTACCACTAACATTTCAAAGTAATTTCGAAATTAGTGCAAATATTTAAAGATAATATAAAAATAAAGATCTTATAAAAACCTTTTAAAACAGATTTGTCAGGATTTAAATAAATATATTTATATTTAAAATAAAAAATATTATGATTAAAGTATTTTAAAGATTTTATATATTATTAGTCTTAATGAAATATATAATAAAAATTTCTAGTGATGATCTATTTTTTAAAAATCACACATGAATCAAAGTAATGATTTCTATTTTGATATATAAGATTGACGATAAATACATGTTTTAACTCGTTATATATTAATTCATTAATTCTCTAACTACCAAAGACAATACCTTTCTCTGCTCGAACATTTTCTTGAAAGGGGTAAGCACTAATTCAGACTGGTACAGTATTTCTTGTTTGTATGCAGTTACCAAATCCTCGTGTACCTCGGAAATAGGGATTGTACTTCCCACTTGAGAAATTGACATTAGTTACAACAAAGTCTACACAAGAATTTGGAGTGCAAGAAAGAAACAGAAGTAGGAGTCTAATTAAGTTGGAGCTTTACTTGGTGTAGGTACAGAAATAATCTTTGGATGGATGTGAAGTAGCTTGAAGCCAACATTTCCCTCATGAGTAAATTTCTCGAGCGCCCATTTTACGACATATTTGCTTTTCCTGCTCCCACTAAGAGCCACGAAGACGGTATGAGACGAAGAAGGACGAGGATGAGGAAAATGAAGAGGAAGAAGAGGAGGAAAGGCAATATATTCCCTTGAGCTACTCATTGTTTATCTTGTTGTTGCTTTTTACCCTGCACACTCCAACTATTCAGACATTGTGACACAGACACAATGTCCTGAAAAGAGTACGTTGTTCATAAAACATGAACAAATCTAAAAATAGTCAAATGTCTCAGAGTATAATTTGAAAAGGATCAGAAAGCTCCGAAAGCAAGACCAAATAACCATAGAAGCTTAAATATTCCAAGAAACATGTAAACTCTTAGCACAATGCACCACTAAACAGCTATGAAACATTAAACAAGTCAATCTTAGAGGGTAAAATAACAAACCCTGAAAACTGAACCTACCTTGTGAATAAGGGATGAGACTTTAGTCAAAACTCAAGACAGAAATGGGGAGAAGAGGAAAGTTATGCTTCTTAGTGAGCCACTGACAAGCTGAAGAAGGAGAAGAACAAGACCCAAGTTTGTGCTGGCAATCTCGGATACAATCGATGGCTTCTTATAATCACAGAATCTTATGTCAAAAGAAATGGTTGAAAATAATAGGGAAGATGTGACAACTTCGCTAATCATGTTTTATCTCTTAATTCCTATTTATTTACATTCCTCAACGCCATGCCCTTATAAAAATACACTTCACTATTCTTTTATATGTTTGCTCTTAGTTGCAGGCATGAACTTTATACCTACCGCACGCCGTTTCTGCTATATTTTGGTCTCATTTGAGTATCTTGAAAAGGTGTCTATATGTGAGTTACATTTTTTCGTTAGAAAAATAGTATGAACCATTCCATATGTTTGAAATATTCCAAGTTAACAAATAAACTATTTAAATCAAACATAATTTATAAGAGATTACATAATAAGTCATTTCCAAGAAAACATATTTATTTATTAAAATATAAATCATGATTTTTTTCATATGTGATATTTCTAATGAACACTTCTTTAACAAGTTGTTTACTTTAACAATATATTTAATTATTTTTTATTCCAACAATATAAAACAAGATATATGATTTTTTTTTTTGTGAAGAAAAATCTATTTTTTTAATTTAACCATCCAACAGCCGAAATCAATAGACTATTCTCCAGCATGCTGAAAATTTAATCTCTCCTGGTGATGACCATCGGGAATCGACTATATGGATCAAGTATTTTGACTTATGAAAAACATCTTCAAATACAAAAGAAGAACGATTTCATATGCCTGAAATATATTTTAAATTTATTAAATTACTTACAAAACAAGAACAATTTCAATATACAAGGCTTTATTATATAAGAAAATGATTAGAATAGACCTAAAAAAGTTCTTATCACAAATATAGACCTTATCAATTAAAATGACCAAAATAACACTTAAATATTTTATTAAATATACATTTATATCGTTTAGGTCAATTAATTCTAGATTTTTTTTTTGTTTAGAGTTGAGGAGTGGAATTTTGGGGATAGTGTTTCGAATTCAAAAAAATTAAGAAAACTTAAAATTTTCAAAATAAAAAATACTATTTTGGTCATTTTAATTTTTGAGATCTATTTTTGTGATAAAAACTTAAACAATGCTATTTTAGAGAATTGCCCTTATTATATCAGTACTTACATGTAGATCACTTCGAGAATAACACATTTTAATAATCAAAATTGCGTCTGAAAAGTATCTTCATCTCATCTTCGATCGAGAATGTATAAATTATAAATTAGATGAAAGAAGTTATAATCTTTAACAATTGGGTTGGAGAAAGAAAGTCCGATGCTTAGAGAAAGAGGATAAACTTTTTTATGTTTGTAAAATGAATTGGTGAGAGACAAATGAAGCTATGTTTAAAATGTGCTCTGTAAAACCAATGTTAAACAGGTATAAAATAAAAAATACCCGACGGGTCAAATTCTACAGAAGCTTGTATATGCATATGTGCACCCTTTCCATTATAAAAAAGAGAGTTTTTGTAGTCTATCTTTCCTAACAGATATAATAATATCGATATTCGTTACTATTTTCTTTTCAATAAATTAAAAAAATATTGTTTATATATATAGTTGCATACTGCATGGGTCCACGGTGTAGTAGAATCAAAGGCAAGCTTATTCATGCTCAAAGATTTAGTAAAAAGAGAAAGGTAGCTGCTTGTGATTTGTCACCAGAAAAACTAAAGATTGGATTGATCTCAAGGATTAGAAGAAGACTTATCTTAATGACAACCAATGTTACAAACTAAGGTGGGGGTATTGGATCTAGAAGTTTGATGGAATTGGAAATAATTATAGTTTCTATTAAATTCTACTGTTATTTAATTATGTATTCCATCAAAAAAGAAATAGTGTTATTGGATTAAATAGTTGTAAACAGTTGTCTATTACTTTAAACTCTACTGTTATTTAATATTTTGTAGATTTTTGTAATAATGTTATTTGAAAAGTATTTAATGGAAATGTATTGTCAAAATATAGAAAACCAATTCCTTCTTATGTAGAAAATTGTCATCGTAGGAAAAATGGTCAAAATACAACAATAATTGCATTTATCTCTATTTCTCTACTTTTCTTTTGTTCCAAAAGTACGGCAAAGCATGACCATAAGTCAGGACCTCCATGAAGTCCGCCATTCTCATTCAACGGTCTTCACCTCCGTCCTTCTCACAAGGATGATCTTATCACCGAGGTCCAACGAGATGGGCATGATTTGGTTTCTTCGCTATCATTCGCAAACGCACATTTTACAGTTGAAAGCGGTTGACATTTTACAGCAATCATTCAAACTATTCTAAACCGTTTAAAACCATTCTAAACCGTTTCAAACTACTCTAAACCTTTAGATTCAAAGTCTGGTTCCAACTAGCGTTTATAATTGCAGGTGGTTGCGGAAGGGTGATTTTTTTCCTTTTTAAACAATATAAATACAAAAAATAAAAATATTCCATAAAACTTTGAAATTGGAATTATAAAAATACTAAATATATCTATTATAATTTAATAAATGTTACAAAATTTTAAATAAAAATATTTTCAATAATTTTAAAAGTTTTAGAACTATAACTTTATAAGTATAATTTTATATTTATTATAATATTTTAATTTCTGGTATTTTATTATTATAAAAAATATGAATATTGTTAATATATATTTTAACCGCTACTGTATTTGGTTGTTAACCAGTTCATAAATATCCCGCAAACACACCAATT